TGGAGGATTTTCGCATAAGGTGAGTTTTTAAGCCCATAGGAACGCATTAAACGTGTTTTTATGCGTTTCTATGGGCTTTTAAAAATCGCTTAGTGATGAAATTGCATAGCAGCGGTTTTTGCTGCACGGATTAACATCGCTAAGCGAGGCACCACTGTATCTGCTTGAATGTGCTTGTTCAATAGAATAGAAAACAGACATTCACTTTATTGATCTTGCATGGAGCACATGCTTTAGCTACAGTCCTTTTGGACTACTGCAACATGCTCTATATGGGGCTACTCTTGGAGAGTGTTTGGAAACTTCAGCTGGTTCAAAATGCTTCAGCCAGACTTCTGACTGGTGCTGGTTATGTAGTTCCCTTGTTATAACAGCTTCATCAGCTGCCAGTCTGCTTCTGGGCCCTATTCAAATGACCTGGACCCAACTCCTATATGGCTTGAGTCCAGGCTGTTTGAAGGATCATATCACCCCATACGAGCCTGGGGGCAGTGGAGCTACCATGGACACCTACTCTCTGAAGCATGACCTCTCCCATTGCTGCCACCAACCTAGCATTGCCTGCTTTATGCCCCAGCTGCTCTTTGGCCAACTATATAAACACCACCTTGGCCAGAAGCTTCTCGGGATGAGGCATTATCGAGACACATGTCCAAATAATTGTGCCAGCAATTTCACGGGGCTCCTGTTAGGCCTGGGGTAGAGCTACACAGAGAATTGGCAATTCCTACATCAAAAGAGTGGGAGATTACATTTTGTTGACATATTGGGCAAGTTACGTCAATTGGAGTCACGTCAGAACCATTATTTTAGAGGAAGAGGGAGTCCTCAAGTGTGTCAATTGGAGTCAAGTCAGAACCATTATCTAGTATTTTAGAGGAAGAGGGAGTCCTCAAGTGGGGCAGGCCATGAGTGATGGTAGGTCTCCCTGCTACGATTACAGATCAAAAGCCACATTAAAAGAACAAGTTTTGAGAAACTACTTTTTTGAATACAACTACTGTACCAAAATCCCTTCGCTATCATGGTCATTGCTGGAAGTTGAACTTAAAGAAATGAACCATTCAGGCTTGGCTGTCGGCCTTGGCTTGATGTTCTTCCACAACCCGTCCTCCTGCACACTTGGAAGGAGAGATCTCGAAATCCCACTTCCCTTCTTAGGGTGTGTTCAGATAGTGGCAAAGGGATGCATCTTATTGCACCAGGAAGGGTTACTGTGTAGGGAGTGATTTCCCTTAAACAGACACTTCTGTCTGCTGAGTATCTATCTCTCCAACCCAACCTCAAAAGGTGGAAGCCCTACCCATGGACCAAAAAGGTCCAGGTTGGATACACATTGGAGTCAGACAGGAATGCATTTCTCCATGGACTGTGTGATCACCGAGAAATAGATTCCACCAGACCACTCTATAAGGACTCCAAATTGTGATCTATTTCCCCTTGTGATCACACCCTTAATTAACCACATTTTAGTGTTATGTCCAAACCCTAAATCTGTTTCTAAAATGATCCAGTGTTTATCCAGCATTGGATGTAACAGTGAGCTGTTGCAGTGAATGAAAAAAGAAGCAAACACCACTTTCAAACATCTCCTTTTGTCCACACCAAGGGCAGCAGGAGGGCCCTGCGAGGGAGGATGCTTGAGAGTTTTAACGCCAAACTATTCTTTAGCTTTACATGGAAATACAACTGCCCATAATTGTTGTTTGGAAGCAAGACAAAATACTGGCTCCTTGAGTTGATGTAGGACCAACAGTCTGACTCAGCCTCTAATCTTGCATGGCCAAGTTTCGTTGGGGCTTGTAAAACCGGAAGCATCTGGCATGTGCCAGGCCATCCCCAACTCAGCAAACAAGTAGGCACAGCAAAACACTCTGCAGAAACAGATCTTTTGTGATTTGCAGAGTTTGCTTTATGTCTAAAAGCTTGAGTGTGCTGAACACCATGTCCCTCTTGTGCTGCTGCATAGCTGATAATGGAACCACTCAGGGTCATGTTTATCCTGAGCAAACTGTTGGGGCAGGACTAAAGGTACACAGAGAGAGAACTGATGCAATTGAGGGCACCCTGTGGCACAGCACCAGTTGCCAGCACTTGGGGCAAGGTAAATACTGTGTGGCCTAACCCATGGACTTTTAGCCAGGGTGGATTAGAATGAATGATTTCTCTCTCTCTCTCTCTCTCTCTCTTATTAAAAAGCATTCATTCGGAAAAAAATTACCTATATCTTCTATTTAAGATATGTTACAGTTCAAAGGATATGCAGCATGAAATAGAGCTAGGTTGTGTAGCATGAGGCTGTATGTAATATTTACATTTTTGGTAAACTAATTCAGTTATCCAAGTTGAGATAACATGCACTTTTTCACAGTAAAAATGGTATAAAATAAACAAAGTTCAGGAAAAGTCCTTGATCCCATTGTTGTTCTGCAAATCTATGTATTAACAATGCACACATTACAGTAGGACTACACACGGGGATCAGTTAAATCAGTGTGTACTGCATGTACAAACACACACACACACACACACACACACACACACAATGAAAAAATGGGAACAAGAAAGAAACAATCCAGATGAAATGAAAGGCATTCGTGTGATATAGTACTGTATGTGTGTTTCTTTACATGTTAACCAGAACTGTGGAATGCTGCCAGCTTTTCCACTGTGTAACTCTTTACTGTTATTAGGATCTTAGGTCGGCCATGTTAGATATACAAAACTAAAGTACAACAACCAATTGTATAGTCCAGAAAGAACAAAGAGAAGAGTACAATGTTTACAATTGATACAAGGTAAAGGTAAAGGTTCTCCTTGACAATTTTTGTCCAGTCGTGTTCGACTCTAGGGGGCGGTGCTCATCCCCGTTTCCAAGCCACAGAGCCAGCGTTTTGTCCGAAGAGAATCTTCTGTGGTCACATGGCCAGTGCGACTTAGACACGGAACGCTGTCACCTTCCCACCGAGGTGGTCCCTATTTATCTACTTGCACTTGCATGCTTTCGAACCGCTAGGTTGGCGGGAGCTGGGACAAGCGACGGGCACTCACTCCGTCACGTGGATTCGATCTTACGACTGCTTGGTCTTCTGACCCTGCAGCACAGGCTTCTGCGGTTTAGCCCGCAGCGCCACCACGTCCCATACAATTGATACAAAGCAGACTGAAATTCAAACTGCAGTTAAGTGTTAATTTGTAATCTGATTACCGCAGTGATGTAATCATTCATGTGTTTTCTAATTATACAAGTTGCTGCATAAAATTTTGCAACCATCGCTATAATTTTACTTGAGATGAAAAGAGAGGTAAAATGTATCAGGTCTACCTGGATCATGTTTTAACATTGGGGGAATAAATACTGTAGATAGGGTGAATCTTTGTAAAATGTGCAGTGCAGCAGGACGTGTTCCACGCTTTCCAGCTTACTGGATTGGCAAGAGCAAAGAGGCGGATTGTAACAGGTACATAAGCAACTTTCCTCTAGAATGGCTGAAGGCAGAGCATTGAAACCGGTCAGGGCGAAAACTCTCTGATGTCTTGCAAGTTCTAAGTTGTAAAGGTAATCTGATGGACTGAAGATTTACTGTGATTCCCTGCCATTGAGTAACATGGGACCTGTGCTCTGTTGAGTTGCAGGGCTGTGTCCTGGATCTGCTTCCTAATATTCTGCTTGGATTTCATAAATCCCAACTAGAAATGGCGGTTCTTCCTTTGGACGTGCACGTGTTTGCCAATTCCCAGCCTTGCCTCCTCTATCAGGCACCCACTCAGGCAGTGTCCAGGGCAGGGAAACTGGAGCAGTGCCTCTAAGTGGGTGCTTGCTGGAGGAGGCAGGTCTGGGAACCACCAAACACCTGTTTGTTCACTGGACGAACCACCGAAGCAACGGTTCATGCCCATTTCTAACCCCAACTGTAACAAAGCTGGGGGGGGGAATAACCCATTTTTCCTCCACTGGAGATCTATTAAAATCAGAGGTACTAAACTAATTAGTTTCAAGCGGGGCCACTCCAGCTGAGGTTCAGAGTAGGGCGTTAGGGATATAGCATGGTACATTAAATATACTTCTCAGGAATTTTCACTATACAGTGGTGCCCCGCATAGCGAGGTTAATCCGTTCCGGATTAACCATCGCTATGGGGAAACATTGCTATACGGAACGAGGAAACCGATAGGAACGCATTAAACTTGTTTAATGTATTCCAAATGGGCACAAAACTCACAGTTCAGCGAAGTTTCCCCATAGCGGCAGCCATTTTCGCACCCTCGGTAAGCAAGGGCAGGGCGCGAAAACAATGCGGGCACCCATTTTGGAACCGCCGAACAGCTGATTCCCCGATGTCGCAATGCGAAGATCGGTAAGCGAAACGCTTACCGATCTTCGCAATGCGAGTTTTGCCCATTGGAACTGTCGGTATGCCTTCGCATTAGCAATCCCAAAAAGAGATTGCTATGCGAATTTGTCGTTATACGGTGCGCTCGTTATGCGAAGCACCACTGTACTGCCTCAGGCAGGGGGGCATACATAAGGCCTGCACCATGCATTGCCGATTGAAGGGATTTATCCTAATCCTCTGCAGCCAGTGCTTGTCTGAATTAAGACTACAGTGTAGTGTGATTACCCCACTGGAAATTCTTAAGATCGTCAACTATAAGTATGTTGGTATTCTTGATTGTGATCTCTTGTCACCCATCTGACACAGCTGGAGAAAAGCGTCCGGCGACTACGGGAGAAATTCTATGGTAAAGTGAGCATTGTGCATGCTGTGAAGTTGATGCGAAAGTTCAGCAACAATCATGATCTTGCCTGCAAGTTCATCATCCTCTGCAAAGATGAAATGAATGGTGAGTTATACGTTGAGGCATGGTGCTGGATGGGAGAAGAGATGGGGTAACTAGTAAGACAGCCGAGACCATAGAAGGCAGAGAGGTGGGTGGAAGATCCATTCAGATGTGGGTATGGGGGGAACAGAAAAAGAAGCCAAATAATGTATATATAAATAGTGGGTTCAAAATGGTTCGTGCATATGATATTTTTGTGGACTTTGCAGTCTGTTACAATATAGCTGTAGCCCACATTATACTGACAGGAGGGAGAGAGAACACCTTGCCCAACATCCTGTTTTCAAGCTGCAAGCATGTGAGGTAAATATACCCCCTATAGGGGGACATTGACATCATTGCACAAGATGGTGGAATGTATTGGTCCTTGTAGTCTCATAGCTCATTATTATTATTATTATCGTTGTTGTCGTTGCTGTTGTTTATATGCCACATTTTTCCCAACAAGGGACCCAAAGCGGCTCACAATTGAATATCCAGCACATGGATAGGATGTTTGTTTGGGTCAGCCCATAAATCAAGGCTTAACCTGGTCATAAACACAGAAAGGAGCAAGTAGAGGCATAGGCAGTAGTGCTGGTTTAGTTGATGGGAGGGGTATCCATCAAGGGAACAAGGAACTCTTGAGAGCTGGGAGCAAGGCGGTCTAGCAACAGAAGGCGCCCTCATCAACCTCATTTTAGTTGCTTGCCTTGTGGTATCTGCTTTCCTACAGCTGGAACTACCCAGCTAATCTTGACAGCTGGAGTGTCTTTGAAGATACTCACTGCATCTAAGCTGTACTTTTGGCATCTCGAATTCTTTGGGACAAGGAGGGGGTTCTTCCTCAGGGACTTGTTCACCTTCTGGATGAAATGAATCCTACCTAGATGAGTCAGACTTTCTCTCTGGTGCCCCTAGGCTGGGACTGGCAGCTCAGGGCTCAAGTTCATGACCGAAATCCTCCAGCTAAGGTACTGTGTGCCTTTCTCTGGGGAAGACTCTGGTATGTAGGACATGACACCTGAGGCCAAAGTAATGTTTGAGTCAGAGGTTTCCTAATTTCTTTTTCACTCTTGTTAGCCGGCTGTGTTTGGAAGGCTCCCAACACTGCCAATTAAAAGAGAACCCACAACCTCCCAGCTTCTCTGCATGAATGAATTTCCCCTGGAAATGGAAAAGTGAATTATGCACCAGGAAAACACCAGAGGGTTACAAATGGAAGCTGTTGACAGCTGGAATGCCCCATCAACACCAAGTATCTTGAATGAAATCAGGCAAATAATACAAACCTGGAAGCATCTTCTTTGATAGAATTATAGAGCAGGAATAGGGGTCATGTGCTCTACAGGCCCCATGTGACACTCGAAGGAATTTTTTGCACACCCACATTTTTCCCCTAAAGCATTGGAGAATCAAGTTTCCAAAGGCTTCTAGGGACAAGACTGTCTCCAAAATTAGACACCATCACACATCATGTTTTAACCAAAGCAAATGAACAAACAAATCACTACATGTTCTTGATCTTTTCAGAAGGTCTTGGTGCAGCCTATGAAGGGCCAAGAGGGTGAAAAATCATCTGGAGTGTCAAACACACAAGGCTTTAGAAGAAGTAACAGGGGGTGTCCCAGAGTGCTATGGGGCCTCTTGGAGGCTCAGAGAAACATGGGTCTGGCGTAGCTTTGTAGTTAAAGAAAAAGAGATTAGAATGCCACTGCAGAGCAGTGGTGGCAGGCAGCCCTGGTCCCCTGTGGAGTTTGCTGGATGTGATGTAATGTGAAAGCTAGACCTAAAGAAGATCATCATGTGAAAAAAAGGGTAAATGTTAGCCCTTGTTAGTTAAAACAAAAGTAATCTGAGTAACGTTTTGACTTTGTGAATTGCTAGCAGTTAATGCTGCTCATTGCTTGTATTCCTCCTCATGCACCAGTCACACGACTTGGCACACAGTGGGGAATAGAAGTCACAACTCATTAAGTAGTAGCAATTGGCCGTCACAGGTTATGCCATTGCACAGACCCTGGTGTAAATAACCAGAGGGATTCTAGCCGACAGCTCCTCCTCCTGTGCCTGTCTACTGAGGGTGAGCTTCCTGGACTGCAAAGCACAGTTCTGTCCAAACAGATCTATGCTGATTGTGGCTCTGGAGTGTACTTAGAAGGATTCTTCCCTGTTATCTCCTCCCTTGTCCTTTTTAGGGTGGCCTGCCTCACTCATCTCTCTGTTATCACCATTCCCAGATTTTTTCCCCCAGACTTCTACAGTGTTTCAGACAGATGGAAAAACCTGTGTCACTCTGGGAAGCTAAATATTGCTGCCTCTGATAACTCATCAAACTAACATAAGCTGTCCTAAAAATAAGTTTCCATCCTTAGTCCTATCCTCTTAGCTAAAAAATCTGGCTTTAATACTGGGAAAATGAGCTTGTGTCCCTTTGTTAGCAAGCATCTTGGCTCCTCAAGGAAAAATGTGACATATATATATATATATATATATATATATATACACACACACACACTACATTTTTACAATTTAAACCACCTTATGGTCCCTTTCCTTAATAAGATTAGCAAAAGATCATGTGAATATGTTGTTTTTACATGGAAAATCGAGGTTGACTTATCTCTCCATCTTTACAATTTAAACCACTTTATGGTCCCTTTCCTTAATAAGATTAGCAAAAGATCATGTGAATATGTTGTTTTTACATGGAAAAATCGAGGTTGACTTACTTCCTGAAGCTGCCGTTGGAGGCTTTAAGTCAAATAATTGTTTACATTGAACAGATTTCTGTCTTGTGGGAGCAGGATGTCACTTGCTTTTGTTCTTCTCTTGTGGCCCATTGTAAGATGGATGAAGCTTATCAATTTGAAGGGAGGCTTACATGTGGAACCAACATCATTGTAAGAAAAATGCAGAGATAATAAAAATCATACAAAACACCTCTGGAGTATGATGAAAGGGACCAATTTTTGAGCAGAAGAATCCAAAGGAATGTCAGTTGACTTTTAATACCTGATTGGTAATTTTTTTTTAAATTCCCCAGCTTCAAAATTTGCAACCTTCTTCATATTGGCAATTCATATTCAAGTCCACTCTAACCACATGTTGTTCTTCTTTAGATTTGGACCAACAAGACGAACAGAATCTCGGGGATGATCCTGCAGCTTTGGTAATGCTGTTATTTCTTAGAGGTTGAAAGCTGGATAAAAAATATGTAATTGAACAGTAAGCAGAGGCCACTTGTAAGGCTTGGGCACTGAAGGTGTGCCTGGCTGGCTATATCTAACCTACGCTAAGAGCATGTAATCCCTTCCTATTGCTGATCACCTGTCACTTGAAGTCCACAAACAGCTCACATTCGAAGCTTTCCTTCATGCCGCTTTTTTTTCCTGGCCCCTTAACAACTACAGATGGAAGGACCATAATTGGCTTAAACTAAGAACTGCAGCTCAGGACCAGTTCAGAAAGGACGGAAAATGGATGGCCCTCCAGATGTTGGATTTCAGCTCAACTCCACGCCATTGGCTATACTGGCTATAGCTGATAGGCATTCACATCTGGAAGGCCCTACATTTGCCAGCCCTACAATATACTGTGAGTTCCATGAACATTTTTTAAAAAGAAGAGCAGCCGCGGAAGATTGCAATTGAGAGTGGAAGAAGGAGGTGAATTGGAAGGAGGTATGCCATTCTGTTCTTGGACATATTCTATCTTGAAACCCTTGAAGCTGGTTTTCTCACCTTGCTGGCTTCTGTGTTTTGCAGTGGTGGTGGTGATAACTATAATACTATGCAGTGGCGCCTCGCTTAGTGATGTTAATCCGTGCAGCAAAAATCGCTGCTAAGTGATAACCTCGCTAAGCGATTTTAAAAAGCCCATAGAAACGCATTAAAACACGTTTAATGTGTTCCTATGGGCTTAAAAACTAACCTTATGCAAAAATCCTCCATTGCGGCAGCCATTTTCGGTGCCTCTAAAGCGAGGCAAAACAGCGGGCGGCCATTTTTTCCCCGGTGGCCATTTTGGAACCGCCGATCAGCTGGCCGAAAATGGGGGCTTTGCGATGATTGCTTCCCCGCAATCATCGCAAAGCGAATTTCCCCCATAAAATGGAGCGATCGCTAAGCGAGGCACCACTGTATATTGTAATACACAATAATATAATGCCAGATATTACAATACTAAAGCACATGTATAGTCCCCTCCTCACAAAGTATGACCTGATGTTACAGAACCACTAGCTGTCTTCCCAGCCAAATACTCTCAGGCGTGTTTGTACTCATGCCAACTTAATCTGTGCGAAGGGTAATGGTGGAATAATGCTTCCTCGTGGCATATAATGTGGGTGTATCAAGCGGTGGTCCTTTTTTAGCTAGATGTATTGCACCATATAAATTTTCTTGCAAGAATTGTTTGATTTTTTTCAGAGGTGTTCTAAAACCTATATTCCTGTAACTATTGAACTATGTAATTGGATCTGATGAGCTCTCTCACTGTAGCCAAGAGACTCGTGCTTTAAAGATGGAAAGATAAAACACTCACCATCCATGAGTCCAGTAGCCAGAAGACCTCACCGCTTTAGCTATGTATAAATGTCTATTCTGCCAAAGCCAAAAGCTGCTTTCAGACTACAGATATTAATGTTCTTGACTGATCTATGGTCATCTTCCTTTTCCCTTCTCTCCCCCCCCCTTTAATCTCTTGTTTTCCTCAATGCCTTTATAAATTAATAAATTCAAGTGATATTTTAAAACCCAGTTTTGAAAAAGGACCGCCTGTTCTATGGATCTCTTCTACTGTTTTATGGCCGTTTCCAACCGTTTTCCTCTTCTTTCAGAATGTGATGAATAAACTGACAAAAGAAGAGGAGCAAAAGAAGCAGGTGAGTCAGAGAGAAGAATGACATTACTGTCAAAGACGTAAAAAATCCTCACTTTTCAATGACACAGTGAAGTATTTTGTGGGTTGTGCTTGAGTTGTTATTTGAAATTTTTAACTTAATACTTCTCTTGAATCCTGTGGTGAAAGAGGGCATACCAGGGACATGAAGAGCCATAAAAGTTAAAAAGTTACACATAGATATGTTACTTCCATCACTGTCACCATGTCAAGAGATTGGGTCTGGAGATTTTTTGATATTGCAATGGGACGAAAAGCGAGCTTTGCTCCCCCCCCCCCGCCCCCAGCAAAGAAAGGCTCAGTCCGGGTCAAATCTCCCCACCCAATCTCTTGAAGGATCCATCTGCGTCTAGAGTCTTGTTGTATTCTTCTAGGCTCCCCCCACCCCAATCTTCTAGGCCTTTTTTTTTTAAAGGAAAAATGTGCTTCTCTTGCAGAAATGTAATTGTTTTAAATAGCATGGTGGCCTTGATTCTGTGTCACATGGACTGTGGAGAGATGTTGAGAAATTATAAACAGAGCATTTGAGAAAATATGTGCTGAGTCCGTGTGTTTCAATAACAGCTGCAGATGAAATATGTTCAACAAGAAGGTTCTTCAAAATTTCCTTTCTTCTTTCCCTTTGCAGAAATCAGATAACAAAAACGATGAAACCGTCAAGGTAAGGAAAAGGGTCAGGCTGTTGTAGTTGTGACAAAACTACGGGGATTAGAAATGTGGGGAGGGGCAAGCATTCTAGGGAGGTGATATGGAAAGTCCATTTACTGACAAGATCTGGGACATGCACTCCACTTTGATCAGCTTGCAGTGGCCGTCATCTCCTGGTCTCGACTCACACAGCACTGTCCCCGCATGTCTTGTGTCCCACGTGGCCTTTAGATGGATAATGCCCAGAAAAGTGGGACTCCAGATTTGGATGCAGAGTTTAGCCATAGTTTAGCACCCCTGACTGTTCCGTGTTTCCCCGAAAATAAGACAGGGTCTTATATAAATTTTTGCTCCAAAAAAAA